GAAGAGACACATTACATTACTGGTCCCATGAAGTTTCCCCAATCCAAGGGCGAACCGACTTTGATCTTGGATATCTCCGATAACAGGAGATCCTTGAAACCTCCCGTCCATACAGAGGAAGAGACGTAGAGTCTGGATAACGCAGAACATTTCTGGCCTGTGATTTTTGTGAGGTTGAATCGACACGAAAAAAAAAACAAGGGACTATACACACCTTGGTATTCAAACGCACCACGAACCGCTTGGATTACCGCGTTCCGAACCTCAGCAGACTGGTGCACCACATGGAAATTCTTCCCCCCAGTCTCCCCTACAATCCTCGGGTATCCCTTATACTTATCCAAATTGACCGCAATATCTTTCCAAAGCTTCTTGAACACGAACGTACTCCCCGTAAAGTTCAACGCAGCGAAGCTCTTGTGTCCGATAGCCTGTGCGACGACTTCTGGAGGTGGTCCCGGTACGAATTGGATGACGCCGGGTGGGACGCCGGCTTCGGTGAAGATTTGGTGGACGATGTAGTTGGAGAGGGTAGCAGCGGGAGAAGGTTTCCAGACGACGACGTTGCCTACGAGAGCTGGTGTGGCGCAGAGGTTACCACCGATGGCGGTGAAGTTGAAAGGTGTGACGGCGAAGACGAAACCTTCCAGAGGTCGGAATTCGATACGGCTAGATATTGGGGAAAAAGGTTTCGATGAGAGTGCTTGTTCGAGTTGATATGACGACGTACTTCCAGGCTCCCGCAGAGTTTTTCGCAGGTTGTTGAGCGTACAGTTCTTCCACAAATTTGACCCCGAATCGCAAGAAATCCGTCAACTAAATCCAGTCAAACATTAGCTTGTTATCTATAAAAACCCCAGCAACTTCGAATTATAGATATACCTCGGCAGCGGCATCGATTTCTGCCTGCCACGCATTCTTCCCCTGACCAAGCATAGTCGCAGCCATGAGTTTATACCGATACTTTCCGCTGACCAGATCAGCTGCTTTCAGAAAGATAGCAGCCCGATCGTTCCAAGGCATGGCTTCCCATTCCGCTTTAGCAGCGAGGGCACCGTTGATGGCGTTCTCGACGGTCTCGGGATCGGCTTCGTGATACGTGCAAAGGTGGTTTGCGTGATCATGAGGAATGGGCTGTTTGGCTAGTTTGCCGGTTTTGACCTGAACAGATCGGGTTTAGCGATTGGGATGTTTGTGCTACGAATGGAGGGATAGAGGGATGAATGGAACGTACAGGTTTTCCGTTGACTACACAGGGCACTTCGAAAGGCAGTTGTTGTTCCATCTCAGCGATAGCGCGTTCTAAAGCAACACGCTCAACGGAGCCTGGCGCGTAGGATTTCTAGACTCGGAGATGGATGTGAATAAGTACAGATATCGTTTCAAGACAGAGTAGTCCTAACCATTGGCTCATTGTCGACGGCCGGGACCTTGAACGTAGCGAGCTGAGCAGAAGCCATTTGCAGAACAGATAATGGTGGTGGTGGTGGTACAAGGTCAAGAAGGACGGAAGGACGGAAGGCACTAGGATTCCTCAGAGGCATGATCCGGATGCGGCTGACACCATACGCTTTTTTGGCTCTTCCATTATTCTGATAAGATTGTCATTAAAGGCGCCTTATGGATCTTGCTCATGGATTCTGGAAGATCGATAGAGTTCATGGAGGAACGAGAGCAGCAGTTGCGGGCCGTCCTTATCGACGAGTCGGACGACGACCGTTTGAAGCTGATTCCGCAACCAGGCGTGCTGCAACCTCTTTCTAGTCGTTTGACACCTCATAAGTCGCGTTCAGATATGCATACATTTTACTCATACGTAGATGGAAGTTCTCAAAGTGCCTCTTCACTTGCAACCAGTAACAACGATAGATGAGCGCTTATTCAGGCGCTTAAATTCTCCATTGCCGCGCGGACGCGGCGTGACCCCCAAAAGTCGCCTGCTCCTCTTTGCTTGTACTATACCTTCCTTTTTGACACCCACAACAAACCCATGGCTTCCTCTTCATCCTCCACCTTGCTCGATAACCCTCCGAGTCGCACAGCCGACCTTGAAGAGACATGGACTTACTTGAAACTGGGGGTAGACCACATCATGAACAAGCTTGACGCAGGCATGAGCTTTACCAGTTACACAAGTCTTTATTCGACAGTCTACAACTACTGCACGTCTACGAAGATGCAAGGAAAGCACGATAGTAATCGGAGTCAGTATTCTTTTCTTGCTTTCTTGCGTTATGCCTTTCTTGACTCATCTTTGAATCTGATTCCTAATCATGATTTCTAGGTGGCGCCAACCTCGTAGGCGCGGATTTATACTTGAAGCTACAGGAATATTTCGTGGATCACTTCAAAACAATGAAAGACGTAAGCTTAATCCTCCATAAATGCGAACACACATAGATCGATCTACCTATAAAAGAGAACTGCTACACTACAAGATGAAGAACTTCTAAAATACTACGCTACCGAATGGGACCGATATACCACCGGTGCCAACTTTCTCAACCGTCTCTTCGGGTACCTCAACCGTTTCTGGGTCAAACGAGAGCGCGATGAAGGAAAGAAAACGGTTTACCAGGTGTACACCGTGCGTCGTGTGCTTTTACATACACCCTGTCAAACAATCTCTGATCCTTTCTTCCAGCTTGCTCTCGCTCAATGGAAACAACATTTCTTTGTTCCGATACAACAAGAACACACCAAACTCGCTAGCGCCTTACTTCGTATGATCGAGCGACAGCGAAACGGTGAAGTGATAGACCAGGGTCTAGTCAAAAAGGTCGTCCTCTCCTTCGTCTCTCTCGGTCTCGACAACAACGATCCCAACAAAGAGTGTCTCGATGTATACAAAGAGCACTTTGAGACGCCGTTCATCGAGGCCACCGATACCTACTACAAGGTCGAATCCGAAACATTCCTCGCCTCCAACACCGTGTCCGAGTACCTCAAGAAAGCCGAGGACCGTCTGCGTGAGGAAGAAGACCGGATAGAGAGGTACCTCCACACCAAAACACGGAAAGAACTGATCTCGAAGTGTGAAGAGGTCCTTATCCGGGCACACTCTGAGCTCATGTGGGAAAGCTTTCAAAAGCTACTCGACTTCGACCAGGATGAGGATCTTCAGCGGATGTACGCACTGTTGTCGCGTATACCGGAGGGACTCGAACCTCTCCGAAAACGCTTCGAGGATCATGTCAAGCAAGCAGGGACGGCCGCTATCTCAAAGTTGGTCATGGAAGGAGGCAATGCGGATGGGATCGATCCAAAGGTATATGTCGACGCTCTGCTGGAGGTGCACAAGAAGAACTCGGAGACGGTCGCCCGGAGCTTCAAGAGCGAGGCTGGGTTCGCTGCGAGTCTGGATAAGGCCTGTAGGGACTTTGTCAATCGGAATGACGCCACGAAAGGGTCCTCGACGAAATCACCCGAGCTCATCGCGAAACATGCGGATATGTTGTTGAGAAAGAATAACAAGATGGCTGAGGAGGAGGATTTGGAAGGGGCTTTGAACCGAGTGGTATGGAACATCTCTTGGGCGGGTAGCAACGCATCTGACCCGGTCTTTAGATGATATTGTTCAAGTACCTGGAAGACAAGGACGTATTCCAAACGTTCTACACAACGAAACTCTCGAAGCGTCTGATTCACGGTGTCTCTGCATCTGACGAAAGTGAAGCTAGTATGATATCGAAATTGAAGGAAGCTTGTGGATTCGAATACACCAACAAACTCCAGCGCATGTTCACCGGTTCGTATTTTTCTTACTTCACATACGCATGCATTGACTGCTCGACGTATGGCTAGATATGAGCTTGAGCAAGGACCTCACTGACTCCTTCAAGGAGAAAATGTCCCAAGAACACGATGACACCGACATCACCTTCAGCATCATGGTCCTCGGCACCAACTTTTGGCCTCTCAACCCACCCCCTCACGAATTCGTCATACCCGCCGAAATCCTCACCACCTACGACCGGTTCCAGAAATACTACCAAAAGAAGCACTCTGGACGGAAACTCACCTGGTTATGGAATTATTCCAAGAACGAGCTTCGGACGAACTATCTCAACCAGAAGTATATCCTGATGACGAGTTCGTATCAGATGGCGGTGTTGGTTTTGTACAACAAGAACGATACGATGTCGCTTGAGGAGATTTTCGCTGCTACGTCTATTGGGAAGGATATTTTGACTCAGGTGCTGGGGTTGCTTGTGAAAGCCAAGATATTGATCAATGAGGAGACTGATCAGTATGATTTGAACCCGGGTATGTTGTCTTTATGAGCTATCAGCTTGAAACCTCTGAAAATGGACGTGCTGTGATTTTTTCCGGGAACGATAGGCTTCAAGTCCAAGAAGATTCGTGTCAACCTCAATTTGCCTATCAAGGCCGAAGTCAAACAAGAGACTAGTGAGGTCCTAAGGGCTGTTGATGAGGATCGTAAATATGCCATTCAAGCCACTATCGTTCGGTGAGTCCCTTCTCTAACTACAGCCGCTTCTGTTCTTGAACTCTTCCCTTTGCAGTATCATGAAAGCACGAAAGACCATGAAGAACCAAGCCCTCATCCAAGAAGTCATTTCTCAGATTTCACATCGGTTCGCACCCAAGATCCCAGATATCAAGAAGGTTCGTGGATGCTTTGTTTCCTGCGGACGGAACACGTTTTGCTCATTATTTATCGTTCGATACATAGGCCATAGAAACTCTGCTCGAGAAGGAGTACATCGAAAGAGTAGAAGGGTCGAAGGATACATTCGCCTACGTCGCATGATTTATCTAAGTACGAGTTGACAACCAGATTCATTGTCAAACCTTGGTTCAACGTTCATGCATGCATCATTCACTTCTCATAACATTTTCGTAATATGTAGTTTCTTACAGATAATTTCTGACCACTCGCTGCATATATGATACAACATATCCTAGAATCCTATACGATGCAACGTTCAGTATAAGCAAGATGTATATATGGGACAGTTGCACGGATGCAAAGACAAGGTAGCGTGGCCGAGTTGGTCTAAGGCGTTGGATTTAAGATTCTTCCCTCGATTCTTGCTTCCCAATGAAGGTGACTTCGCGCGAGTTCGAATCTCGCCGCTACCATTTTTCTTTTGAGTTTGACTCGAGTCACTTCGACGTTCTCCATGTGTGTCCCTCTCATTCTGTCCGAAGTGTTTTCGCCGGAACGCGAGGTCCGATTCCGGATTTTTGCTTGATTAAGCCGCAAGCGTCTGGGGTCCGGCAACTTCCGGTATGTATTCTTCAACGTCATGGTTCGTCATGAACTGTGTTTCTACTTGAAAAGCACAATACTTTCTTCTACCCCAGTTTCTCTCTCTCCGCAACGATAACCACCTGCTAAACTCTAGTCATGGCCTCCAAGAACGATTCCGGAAAGACATATCGCAACGAGTGCACAGGCAGTGCCCTCGCAACTGTCAAAAAACAATCAGAAGAGCAGGACCTCACTCTCTTCGGAAGCTGCTTCTGCCCGTTCGTTCAGCGTGTGTGGATAAGCTTTGAGTATCTGCAGATCCCGTACAAGGTAACCTCGTGTGATCTTGGAAATGCGGTTCCCTTGCGTTGACCAATTTCCATTTCAAGTACTGTAAGTATTAAATTCTGGCTTGCTAGAGGGCCTATTCGAGCTAGTAAATAGATGAGGTCGACCCGTACAAGAAGCCCAAGGACCTTCTTGAAGTCTCATCGAAAGGCTTAGTGCCCGGGCTCAAGTTGAACAACTTTCATCCTCCCAGAGCTCTCAACGAGAGCACAGTGATTCTGGAGTATATTAATGAGTATAGAATCACTAATTCTGATCTCATTTCTGCGTTTATTCATGATCCTTGGATAGTCTTGCCATGAACACTAATGGTCGCAGCCTCTTGCCTCCTATAACCAACCCATGTCAGTCTTCGAAGTCCATAGTATGTTCTATCGTGCATCTACTTACTCAGAAAACACAACAGACGCCAGGGCTCTCGTGAGGCTCCAATGCGACCACGTCAATCGCTCACTAGTTCCTTCTTTCTATCGATACCTTCAAGCGCAAGACTCAACCGCACAAATTGACCAAGGAAAAGAATTCCACCAATCAATCGAGGGCCTTGTCCAACTTCTGGATCGTGCCGAGAAGGAGATCGTTCGAAGCAGCGGTCCCGTTTCCGGTGAAGGTGAAAGAAAAGCTCTCGCTGTTGGACTGGGATTATGGATTCCTGAGAATGAAGACCCTGGCTTGGTCGATGTTATGGTTGGACCTTGTAAGTTGCTCACCTCTATGAATCCCTCCCTGAATCAATTCACTCGTGCCGATGCCCTTTGTAAGGGCTGCACCGGGCTTCAAACGTGTTGAAGCATTACAGAGGATTCGAGCTCCCGCGAGGGCAAAAGTTCGACAGATGGATCGACAAGCTCTTCAATCACCCGAACTTCGCGAGTACCTGTAACACAGAAGATTTGTACTTGGACAGTTATGAAAGGTATGTAGGCTACTTCCTGCTACTTCCCAGAGGCGTTCAAGATAATCATATTTTGATATGACCGCAGATATGCCTTCAACCGTCCCAATACGAGTCAGGTAGCGGATGCCGTGAACTCTGGTCGAGGTCTGCCTTGAAGCAGATATGTATGAGAACGTTCAGGCCCACCGTGGCATGATCGACCGACATATTATACTGATTGTATGTGAGTTCTATGAGCACAGAGTAAATTGACAATTGTATCTCGAACGTGTATCATTCAAGTGATCCCGAGAACTTTTGGTAATTCTACCTCGCAAGGCCCTTTGAACACAAAGTCCGCTCGAGCATCGCCAGGAGCTGGTTCGATGTTGAAGACCGCAACTGTACCACCGTGTCGTTGAATTCGATAGACAAAGCCTGAAGCAGGACGGACCTATGCCACAATGAGTGAATCGTTGGGATCAAAATAGTACCAATGAGAATGTGCCGCACCGTAGACGAGGTACCTACGACAAGGCATAGATCAGCTTTCTGCACCAGACTGTTGATCTCGTCCATTCTCTGCGATTTCTCGTCGAACCAAACAACTCCCGGTCGAGCAAGCTTTCCACATCGAGGACACCGCGGGAGGTCTTCGACAGGGATGCTTTCTGGTTTGGTCAGCAACTTTTGAGGATCGGAACGACATAGATCCTCTGCTCTACCAAGAGCGGGACACAATGGATTCGATAGGTCCTCCTCGCAATACCCACAGCTTATGCATTGGACGTCGAATAACCGCCCGTGCATTTCTATCACTGAATCTAGTGATCGAGCGTTGTCCGGCGCACCAGAGTCGTTCGTGTTTGCAATGAGTGCCATGATGGCCTTCACCGACAAACGATCGACATTTTGTGTGATCAGATGATAACTCGTTGCTGCAGGGGCCACCTTTCTGAGGACAGTCGGTAAGGCAAGTTGGGCAAGTGCGCTATGGGCAGCGTTGGGTGACGCTTGCAATGCTCTATGGCAGCAGCGATCGATCAGTGGGCTAATTGTAGGTTAGAAGAGGGAAAGGCTTACTTTACTCTTCTGTGGTGGTAAAATTGCCAGACAGAAGAGGGATCGGAACGAAAGGAGGATGGGGTTGCGAGACTGGATGTGTCCAGAGTACGCCACAAACCACCTCGTTCCCGAAAGGTCGAGAGCCCTGTAGTAGTAGGTGATCCAGAGTGAGTTATTAATATCTCCTAGACCTGCCTCCACGATACACTCTACCTGAAGCAGCGGACAATCCAGCACCGGCGATCACGATGATATTTTCAGACCGTCTCAGGACTTTGCGAAAGTCGTCTATGGACGTGCTGTAGACCATGATGGTATGTGGTGTGGGTCAAAATCGATGGGTTCGTCGGATTTTTGGATTTTTTTAAGGTTGAATGATGAATCTAGTAAGATAAGAGATTAAGTAAGTCCAAGGGCTTTTTTCACGGTGGTGTGTGAACTGTAATATTTGTGACGGGAAAGTAACATCAGTGGAACCAGGATCCTTCGTGAGCTTTGCCACTTTGAGAAATGAGAATGAGAAGGGGAGGGGTTCTTACCGTATCACCCCGGCGAGATTTATCTGGATTCTGTTGAGTTCAAGATTGTTCGGAGTTCATTTTTGTTCCCGATTAATTGTACGTTCGCACCACCGTTTGGTTCATGATTGATGATTGTAGAGACCTCGGAGGACAGTGTCAGACTGTCAGTAAGACACTGTATAGGTCCTAGGATGCTGAAGCTTGGCTGGCTCGAGATCTACTATCAGCTTTAACTCGACTGCTCCTGTGGACGACATTTTCAATTGGGAAATCGTACGATGTCCTTCCAGTAGTAGACTTCTTGCCACTCAGAGAGGCTGGATATGACTTCAGATCCCGTAAGCCTCCGTGAGCTGTGAGAATACACTGACCTCCGACCTGCCATCAGGATCCATCAGGTAAAGGAATTTCTATCGAGAACAACTCGAATATTCACGATATACCTTCTATAATTATGAGATACCTTGAATTCAGCCACAATGCCGCGTAAAGGCTTCACAAGGGTGAGAGCCTGGAAGGAGTGAGGTGGACAAAAATAATCCGTGCATAGTACACCAGTGACCACAGCGAATGACCGTCACCTTAACTTGAGCTGAGCCGATAGAATGGTGAAGATAAGCATTCAATGAGATGCATCACGTTGGAGTCTCTTATGAGAAGACGAGTTAGAGTTGTTGGAGGTGCCGTCGAGTGACGAAAGGTTGTGGAAGCATATGTGGGTTCGGAATTTTCAACGGTGATGGTGGTTTTCCAGTTGGTGGGATTAGGCAAAACAAGCCTAAACAAGCGCCCGCATCTCTTTCTGATACCTCAAGGTAGACCCAAGCGCCTGCGTAGTGCTACGGGTAGGGCTCGAATCATCAACGAAGAGTTCGAAGAACTTGCAAAAAAGGCTGAATAGGCTTTGGTAAAATACCCAGATCCAAAATACACGACAAGTCGTTACTGTCCAGCGCGAATCCCTTCATTCACTCCAGCGCAGAAGGACTCGGAGCTGATTGAGGAGTTTAGTACTCCACGTCGAACACGATCCCAGTCAGCCCGAGCTCTTCTGCTGATTGAATCGGACTCCTCGTCTTCTTCCCCGTCATCTAGTATCTCCTCTTCTCCGTCAGCTCGCGAATGTTCGTTGCGCGACTATGAACGGCTTCAGCGCGAACATGCCTATTCACAGATACGACACTCCATTGTGATGGAGTCCATCTCAGAGTAGCTCAGAGTTGAACGAGAGACGCTACAAACTCCAAGCGGAACGTGATGACTTTCAGGCGTATGCGATTTATGCTGAACAGCAATGCTCTATTTTGAAACACAAGCTCGACGAGGAAGCAGAGCAGAGTGATTTACGGCCACGGTCGCCTCGGATGCTCACTTCAAGGGAAGATCTATTGGAAGTCGGACAGGACAGTACGAGGAGGGTAGGGAATGATAGGCAGAAACAGACAAGCGAGACTCAACGCGCAGATATCATTCGACGACCCGAACAGGAACAGTCGGACGTCTCTTTTTCAGGAAATTTGAAGACAATGAAAGCAAAAGGCTTAGTTGATATCGCTTCTTCTCTGACGATTCCATCCGAGAACATAACAGCCGATGTCCTTCGTAGTCGCTTAATTGCTCATTTCGATGCAAACAAGGAGCTCAAAAAGGACCCTCGCTATATTGCCAGGCTTTTGGAACGAACGCGAAAACGCAAGGACCCACTAACATAAGACGTGGCTCCTCCTTTCTACCGACGCCCGCCTCCTACCCTACCGCCTCAACCGAGCTCGCCTACCCCTGGTACATCCCTGCCACGTCACTCACAATCCACGGACTTCATCATCGACATTGAATTGGATTCAGCAGCATTTTCTCCTTTTACATTCCCTTCAAGATACATATCTGAACATGCCTGCTTGGTTTTCGTTTCCTTTTGCTTATGCATTCTCTCCACATTCTCCTCCTCCTTCTCCATCCGGCCCTGGTGAATTCCTTGTCCCGTCCTGTTTTGCACTCTGATTCTGATTCCTCATCCCACTGCTAGTTCCTCTCACAATCCAGATACCAACGTAGAGAAGTCTGGAGAGAATGTTTG